GAGGCCGAAAATTGCGAAAAACCTCTCGTCATGATTTTTTCATGACTCGAGGGGGTCTGGGTCGAGGGCTAGATCGCTCAGGCTGAGCTGCAGGATCTCTGCTGCCATCTTCGGGCTCGCGGGAGCCGTCGCCGGGCCCTGGGGACCGGGAAACGGTGGTCGAGGCCTCCGGGGGCACACGCGCGTATAGAAGCGCAAGGGTTCGGCGGCAGGGAGGCGGGGAGGAGGAGGAACTGCCAGGAGGGGAGGAGGGTCCCGACCCAAACCACCGACGTCGTGATTTTCCGTGGCGCGCCCCTCGGAAGGCCCCTCGCGGAGATCTGGACCCCTTCCTGGGGGCCGGATTTTCATCCTGGATCGTCTTTGTTGGACGGTCCCTAGGCCCGGGAAGCCAGACAGTAGCGAAAAAACCTCCCGTCGTGACTTCTGGTCACAGCGCGGGGGGTCTGGGAGGCAGAAGGGCCCTCAGGCCCAGGGGCTCTCCCCCGTGGGCGATCCGGGGACGAACGGGGGAAGAACGGCTCGGGAGGGGGAACGTCGACCTCCTCCTCCTCGTCCTCCTCCTCCTCCTCCTCCTCCTCCTCCTCCTCCTCCTCCTCCTCCTCCTCCTCCTCCTCCCTCCCTCCTCCCTCTCCTCCCTCCTCCTCCTCCTCCTCCTCCTCCTCCTCCTCCTCCTCCTCCTCCTCCTCCTCCTCCTCCTCCTCCTCCTCCTCCCTCCTCCTCCTCCTCCTCCTCCTCCTCCTCCTCCTCCTCCTCCTCCTCCTCCTCCTCCTCCTCCTCCCCCCCCCTCCCCCCTCGCTCCCTCCCCTCCCTCCCTCCCCCCCACGCCCCGCTGGCGTCGCGCACGGGAGGGCGGCGCGCGAAGGGTGCGGCTTTCCGAGCAGGCGGGGAAAAAGGGCTCGAGTCGGCGAGGCCTCGCCAGCAACTCGGCCCCCGATCGCGCAGCGAGTCCGCACGGCCTCCTGGGCGGGGCGTGCCGTCAGGGCCCGGTCGGCGCTCAACGGGCGGTTGGTGGTCGACGCAGCCCTTCCTTCCCCCCTTCCCCCCCCCCGTACCGTTGCCCCTGAAGGTTCCATCTCCGCCCAGGCCCCTCCCCCCCCTCCTGCCCACGGCACCATAATAAAAGGGGACGCCACGCCTGTCTGGCCTCCTCCGGGCCAAGAGTCTTCTGAGCCAGAAGTCGTCCGATCAGAGACAAAAAAACACTGCAGAAGCAGCACAAACTGTCGAAGCTCTGCGCGGATTTCTTGGGGATGAGCGCGCCAAGGCGCCCAGAGCAGATAAAAAAAAACGCGCGAAACTCCCAACGCCGAATGTTTCTGCAACTTCGCCAAATCGATCAGAAGGGTCCTGTCGTCGTGCTGTTAGGTGGCGATGTCTGTACCCCACCCCCACCAAGCAGCGATTCTGAGGAATCGATGGGAGGCGGGAGAGCGTTCGAGTACGCCCCGTGATCGACGCACTCCGCACCCTACCTCTGCCGTCGATCGATCGAGTTGCCTGAGCCGTGTATTGGGGAGGGTAGGGCTCGGACTTCGCCGCCGACCTCTGGCGTTCGGTCGGGCATGTCCTCCTACAGGCGGATTCTGGAAGAACAAACGAAAACAGTACGCGACCGAGGTACCCCACATACTGATGTTTAATCTTATGCGTTTGCTTGTCATTATCATCTTTGCGCAATCCTGCGTTCTAAACCCTCGTCGCGAATCGTCGTCGTACTTGTCGCACTCGTCGTCGTACTCGTCGTACTCGTCGTCGTACTCGTTGCCGTTATATCGTTTTACTCGTCATCGTACTCGTCGTCGTACCTCGCCATCGTACTCGTCTTCGCATTCGTCGTCGTGCTCGTCGCACTCGTCGTCGCACTCGTCGTCGTCCTACTCGTTGTGCTCGTAGTGCTCGTCGTACTCGTCGCCGCACTCGTGGTCATCGTCGTCGTCGTCGTCGTCCTCCTCCTCCTCCTCCTCCTCCTCCTCGCCCCACCCAATCCTCTCAACTCCTCCGCACTCCTCTCAATTCCTCCGCACTTCCTTCAACTCCTCCGCACCCCTCTCAACTCATCCTCTCACCTCCTTCTGTACTCATCTTTCTGCACTCCTCCGCACTCCTCTCAACTCCTCCTCCCAACTCCTCCACACTCGTTTCATTCACCTCGGCGCCCATCTCGAGCATTGATTTCTTGAGCTGCTCGCACGGCGGTGGCAGCGCGGCCATGGCGCATTTGGGCGCTATGACGGGGGCCGTACCTTTGACGGAAAGTCACTAGCAGTCGCCCGCGATCACATATCGCGCGGTCTGAGCCGACATGAGCCAGGGTGACTACAATTCTTGATGATGATAATGCTGATGATGTTGATGATGATGATGATGATGATGATGATGATGATGATGATGATGGCGCCCCCCCTGCTTGCGTACCCCTGTGGCCTCCAGAACAAGTGACGCGCGCTACGCCCTGGTAGACTCCACCCCCTGCGCACCCCCCATGGTGTCAGGAAACTGCCACGCCTGCTATGCCTGGACGACTGCTATGCCTGGGCGACTGGGGCGTATAGAGACCGCGGTGAGAGACCACCCCCTGCGCACCCCTTTATAATGTCGAGACAGTCCCACGCATGCTGTGCCCGGGACGACATAGGCGCATAGCGGTCGCGCTGAGGGACAACCCCCTACGGTGTCGAGGAAGTGCCACGCCTGCTGTGCGTGGACGACTGGGGCGTATAGAGGCCGCGGTGAGAGACCACCCCTTGCGCACCCCCTATGGTGTCGAGAAAGTGCCACGCCTGCAGTGCCTGGACGACCGGGGCGTATAGAAACCGCGGTGAGAGACCACCCCCTGCGCACCCCCTATGGTGTCGAGAAAAGTGCCACGCCTGCTGCGCCTGGACAGGGGCGTATAGAAACCGCGGTGAGAGACCACCCTGCGCACCCCCTACGGTGTTCAGAAAGTGCCACGCCTGCTGGGCCTGGACGACTGGGGCGTATAGAGACCGCGGTGAGAGACCAGCCCTTGCGCACCCCTTATGGTGTCGAGAAAGTGCCACGCCTGCTGTGCCTGGACGACCGGGGCGTATAGGCCGCGGTGAGAGACCACCCCCTGCGCACCCCCTACGGTGTCGAGAAAGTGCCACGCCTGCAGTGCCTGGGCGACCGGGGCGTATAGAAACCGCGGTGAGAGATCACCCCCTGCGCACCCCCTATGGTGTCGAGAAAGGGCCACGCCTGCTGTGCCTGGACGACCGGGGCGTATAGAAACCGCGGTGAGAGACCACCCCCTGCGCACCCCCTACGGTGTCAAGAAAGTGCCACGCCTGCTGTGCCTGGACGACTGGGGCGTATAGAGACCGCGGTGAAACACAAGCCCCTGCGCACCCCCTACGGTGTCGAGAAAGTGCCACGCCTGCTGTGCCTGGGCGACCGGGGCGTATAGAAACCGCGGTGAGAAACCACCCCCTGCGCACCCCCTATTGTGTCGAGAAGGTGCCACGCCTGCTGTGCCTGGACGACAGGGGCGTATAGAGGCCGCGGTGAGAAACCACCCCCCTGTGCACCCCCTACGGTGTCAAGAAAGTCCGGGGCGTATAGAAACCGCGGTGAGTAACCACCCCCTGCGCACCCCCTATGGTGTCAAGAATATGCCATGCCTGGGTGCCCTGGAAGACTGGCGCGTATAGAGGCCGCGGTGAGAGACCACCCCCTGCGCACCCCCTACGGTGTCGAGAAAGTGGCACGCCTGCTGTGCCTGGACGACTGGGGCGTATAGAGACCGCGGTGAAAGACCAGCCCTTGCGCACCCCTTACGGTGTCGAGAAAGTGCCACGCCTGCTGTGCCTGGACGACCGGGGCGTATAGAAACCGCGGTGAGAGACCACCCTCTGCGCACCCCCTACGGTGTCGACAAAGTGCCACGCCTGCTGTGCCTGGACGACTGGGGCGTATAGAGACCGCGGTGAGAGACCACCCCTTGCGCACCCCCTATGGTGTCGAGAAAGTGGCACGCCTGCCATGCCTGGACGACCAGGGCGTATGGAGACCGAGCTGAGAGACCACCCCCTGCCCACCCCCTTTGGTGTCGAGAGAGTGCCACGCCTGCTAGGTTTTGCGCCAGTGTCGTGGATAGCGGCCGAGCTGAGAGACCAACCCCTGCGCACCCCCTGTGGTGTCGAGAAAGTGCCACGAGCTGTGCGCTGTGCTGAGCTGAGCCGTGCTGGGCTGTGCTGAGCTGTGCTGAGCTGTGTGCCGAGCTGAGCTGAGCTGTGTGCTGTGCTGAGCTGAGCTGTGCTGTGCTGTGCTGTGATGTGCTGTGCTGAGCTGTGCTGTACGAAGAGTGAAGTGTGTGTGTGTGTGTCGCGGGTGCAGCGCGGCAGGGAAGAAAACCAGAACCCCACGAAGCATGTGGGGAATCAAAACATCAAATCTAAAAATAGTCAGAAATACTCGAAGAAACGTCCCCAGACTTTAGTTGAAACTGTTTTTGAACATTCCTCCTGGACACGCCCGATTCACCTCTGGCGCTGCAGGCGGGGGGGGCACTTCAAGCCGGGGAACGAGCGAAGATTTGAGTAGGGACCGACCGTCCCGGCATTCCTGTAGGTCTACCACCAAGACTTCTCAGAACCCACGAATGTTCTAAGAGCAAACACCATGTTTTTAGTGCGTGATTCCGATGTGCTAACACAAGACAATCTCAGCCAGCAGTGTTCTAAGAACACTTAACTCGTTGAAGCCACACCAGAAACTTAGAACACTCTTTGGTATGGTGGGCATGTTTTCCACCACCACCACCGTAAGTTCGAGGGGGAGGGGGTCCTCCTCCTCCTCCTCCTCCTCCTCCTCCTCCTCCTCCTCCTCCTCCTCCTCCTCCTTCCCCCCTCCAACTCATGGTGGTGGTGGTGGTGGAAAACAGGCCCATCATTGGTAGGCCTGTAGACGAGCCAGGACGCTTCGCCACTGCTCGAAGGACGGCAGGCTCGCCCGCGCCCGGCGCGACGCCCGACCGCTCACCCGCCGCCGCCGCCGAGGCCGCAAGGCGGCTCCTCCCGCGGGCGGTGGACCCGCGCCCCAGTCTTCGCTCGGGCACGTCCTCCTACAGGCGGTTTTGTGGACGGTACTTGTATATATATATGTATATATATAACATAAATATGCCTATCCTTATTTTTAAACTTATCAACATACATATATATATAGTACGGTGATAAACGTGTACAAAGTGAGAAATTGTCCAATATGCTCAAAATAGTCAAACAGTCGTGACCAGCAATGTTGTTGGACCTTTTTTGAAAGCATTCCTCCTGTAGAAGGACAGGCCCGACTTGACTCCAGTCCCCTCTCCCCTCCTCTCGTCCTCTCTCGGCGGCGAGCGGGGGGGGGAAGTGAGAAGCAGAGGGCCTTCTCAGAAGGCGGCGGGGCTTTTCTCAGAAGCCCTCGCGCCTCCTGAGGAGCGGTCTGTGCCTCCGGGGGCAGGCTCAGAACACTTCTCGGAAGGCCTGGGCACCTCCGAGCCTTCTGAGAAGGCACGCCCCTTCTCGCTTCCCCTCCCCCCTCCGCTGGTTCTCTCTGCCCCCCCCCCGCTCCCCTCTCCTGCTGCTCTGGCTCCTTCCTTCCCCGCCCCCCCCTTTCCCCTTTGCCCTCCCTCTCCGCCCCGTATGGTGCCAAGTGCGCCCAGGCGCTCCCAGCCGCAGCCATCGGGGTTCAGGAGGAGACGGGGGCCATCAACGACGACGAGGTGTGCCAGGTGAGCGACGGAAAGAAGCGGGTCTTGCGCGTGACGACGTGGCGACCTGAAGCGGCGGCTCGCGCGGGCCGCCAGAGCGGCAGGTTACACGGGAAGCGAGGAGCGCTGACGCGCAACCTTACGCGGGCAGCTTGAGCGCCCACTGGCCATCCCTCGGACGTCCATTCCCTGTGTTTTTGTTCGGTTTCGTACGCGTTTTTTCGCCAAATGATCAAGGATGCTCCTCGATGGTCCTCGCCGAAGGAAACATGCACACGTCCGAGCGATGCCAAGCCAGTGTCGGTGCAGAGGACCCCGAGTTGTTTTTGTTTCCGTCGCTCAGGGCGCGGGACAGGTTCCGAAGCACCCCGGCGCAGGGGGAGGGCCTGCCCGTGCCACGCGGGCCACGAGGCCTGTGCGGCCTCCGGCCACCTCCTCCCCCCGGCCCTCTCGGGCCAGCAGTCCGCGCCGTGCCTCTGGTCTCGGGGCCTCCTCCCGAGTTCCTGGACCCGGGCGCCGGCGCCAAGCGGCGATCGGCGATGGGTCCCAGCAGCTTCTCTCCGGCAGCGCCGCTCCATTCGACGAGCACGCGCTCGGGAAGGGCTCCGTCGACGATCCTGTCTTAGACGTTGGCGACGCTGGTGGGGAGGACTCCAGAGACAAACGTCTACGGCGAGTGGGAGTCTCAGCAGATCTCCGCAAAGATCTGCCTTCTTCGGTGGGGTCCAAGGCAAAGCCCAAACAACTGTTCGACGAGAAGTCTGGGGCAGCTTGTTGGCCATGGGGTTTACTCTGGGCCCGATGGTCTACGTGACTGGCAAATGGTGGGGTGGCGGACGGATGGCACCAGGGGTGTTGGAAGAATCCTCGGGGTCCAACGCTGCTGCTTGGGGTTTGATTCAAAATGAGCTTCAGCGACGCGATGCGTCACATCTGACCGTCCTCCAAGTCCCGTCTCACATTAAGGCTGGTGATCTGGACGGATTTCGCATGCCCGGATTTCTCATGATCGGCAACTTTGTCGCCAGCCACTCTGGTGGTGTCGCTCCCTTGCGATATCCTCGTCCGCTCATGGCTTGAATAATTACCACAAACGATACCAACAATACACCGGGATCGGCTGCTCAGGGATAGCTCACAAGTTGGCTTGAGACATCATGTGTCGCCGCGCTGGTTGTTCTGAACGCGCCCAAATGGACGACGCCGACACCACGACAAATCCACGGCAAACCCTGCGTCCCGCGCCCCAGCAGACGAAGCCAGCGCAGCGGCACACCCCACGGCAAGCCCGCCGCGCCCAAGGCGACGTTTGCCCTGGTGGCCGTGGCGCCCTCCCCAAGACGCAGGGCCGCGCGTCGGAACAGACGGCGCGGGGACATGCATCGATATAGTATGTTGTTAATGTCAATTCCAACTTATTTCAGCTGCCGAGGAGGAAGAGAGTACACTTGGCGGGGCGGGTTGGTCCAACCAACCCGCTCGATCGTGTATTATTGCTCGTGGAAGTTTTGAACGTGTAGCTCGGGCGGGTTCGTCGGTAGCGACCAGCTTCGGAAGCCCTCGGCCGAGCCTGGTTCGCAGACTCTAAACGCAACGCGTCGAAAATATATCGAGATGCTTCGGTCGGGGCAGTGGCCGCATGACCAAGGTTCGACCCGAGCTAAGTCCTCGTATTGCGATTTCGTTTCGAATTCGCCTCGCAAAGGGGTTCATTCTTTCATCCCCAAAGGGGGGGGTCACAGCCGCCGCTGCGTCCGCTTCGAGGGGAGGGCAGTCCTGAGCTAGATCGGATCGCGCAATCGGATCAGTTCGGAAGCGGATCGGGTCGCCAGCGGATGGATCCTGCATCGAATCGAAACCGGATCGCCACGCCTGGCTCTGGCTGGCTCCCGCCGACGCATGGGCATCGAACCGAACCGGATCGACATCGCGGCCCCAGACAACGAATCGATCTGGATCTTCGGCGGCCCTGGCGGGGAAGGGACGGTGGCCCCACCGCGCGATGCGTGAAAGACACGAACTCGGCACGTGCACGCCGCCACTGGCCAGGCTCGCCCTGAGCACAGGATCGGTGCACGCACGCCGACCTGACCTGGCCAGGGAGGCGCACACGCGCTCGGTTCTCGGTGCCCGAGGCGCCGTGCCAGAGGGGCCGCAGTGAGAGATGGCGCCGGAGGGGATCCCCGCGCCCCTCCCCCCAGCCCGACGGCCTGTCATCACCGCTTCGGCCCCCCCTGCGCGCTCGCAGCGGCGCGCGTGATCACGAGTCCTGCGTGCGCTCGCGGGCGAGTCTTGCATGCTGCTTGGCGCTGGCAGTGCCGCCGAGGAGCATGCTTCTTCAGGCACGCGCGCTCCACTACTCGCAAAGCAGCTACATACTCGCAAATGGCCTGGATCCGTTCCAGGGAAATTGCGATACATTGCACGAAGGCAAGTAGGCGAGTAGGCACTTGGCGAGTAGCGGAGCGCGCTCGGCGAGTCTTGGGCCCAGCGTAAGCGTCGCCGCTTGCCTGCCTGCCAGCCTGCTGGTTGTCTGCGTCGCAATTCGGCGCTCGGCTCAGGGGATTACTTTTGTCACCGAGATGATCGCGGCAGCACACCTCATGTCCGTGGCACTGTCCTTAAGTCGGGCGTGTCCCCCTAAAGGGGGAATTTCGACGAAACATTGAAAATATTCAAAAAATACAAAAGAAAGTCCCCGGACTATTTTTGGGCTATTTTTGGAGATTCCTCCTGTAGAGGGACGGGCCCGACTTAACACTGTCCGCAGGAGTTCTTTGACCCTCGGACTCCTGGCCTGGCGACTATCACGTAACAGTGGAGGCCAGTCCACAAGAAAACCTCCCACGAGAAACCCAGCCCTGAGACCCCAGGACGTCCATTGATTTTGTTGTGGGAACGTCGCGCTCTCCAACGCAACACCATCGAAACCCAAGAAACCCAGGGCACCCCGGAGGCAAGCATGGCGTCTTTTGGCACTGGTCTCCACTGTACCCAGCTGGCCAGAGGTTTGGTCGTTAACCGGCAGCCGGGAGGCGAGGGCGACACGGGGGAGAGACCGCAAGGAAAAACTGCAGAACCATGGAATTCCAAGGGTCCGCCCAGATTTTTTGGAACGGGGCTGGACCTCCCTGGAGGCGCCTCTGGCGCCGAACCCTGTCGCGCCCAGCACGCGGGAGAGAGGGGGCCCAGCGCCGCTACCAAAAATCTGGGCCAGACCTCCGAAACTTGCCCAAACAGTGCTTGCACTTACGTATAGGAGTCCTCACTTCCTCCTCCTCCTCCTCCTCCTCCTCCTCCTCCTTGCCCTTCCACTCCTCCTCCTCCTCCTCTACCTCCTCCTCCTCCTCCTCCTCCTCCTCCTCCTCCTCCTCCCCCTCCTCCTCCTCCTCCTCCTCCCCCCCTTCTCCTCCTCCTCCTCCTCCTCCCCCTCCTCCTCCTCCTCCTCCTCCTCCTCCTCCTCCTCCTTCTCCTCCTCCCCCTCCCCCTCCTCCCCAAACATTTTCAGCACTCCCGCCTCATGGGCGCTCTTGCGGGCGCGCTCGCGGGCACCCCGTGCCTCTCACGGGCGCGTGCCCGCCGAGGCCTCGCCCGGCGTGCGCCCGCCTCGTGGGCGCCCGGGTGCCCCCCGGGGGTTGGGTCCCGCGGAGGTCTCGCCGGGTGGGCTCCCTCGCGGGGTGCCTCGAGGTCGCTCAGTGCCCGCCGGTTGGTCCGCGCTTCGCCGGGGGTTCGCCCGGGGGCGCCCCGCGCGGCCTCGCGGGCGCAGAGCTCACCACGCCTATAGCTCACGCAGCAGGCCTCACGCCACAGCGGGCCACACCGCACGTCCGGCACAGCAGGGGTGACGCCCCACGCCCTGCACGCCAGGCCTTCGACCGGGACAGCTTGCCTTCACAGCACAGCTCAGGCAACATGGCTCACACAGCATAGCTCACACCACATAGCTTACGCAACATGGCTTGCACCACATAGCTCACGCTACAGAGCATCAGGAAGTCTTTAGTTTCTCTCGGCGGAGAACAAACTCGACCCTCCCCCTCCTCCTCCCTCCTCCTGATCCTCCTCCTCCTCCTGTTTCTCCCCCATTCCTCCTCCTGCTCCTCATCCTCCTGCTCCTCCTCGCGGTGCTTATCGTAGGGTTGTCGTCGTCGTCGTCGTAGCCGTCGCGGTGGAGATTCGTTTCCATCTGTTGTTGGGCGGGCTGGGTAATGATGGGGGATTATTTTTTCCAGGGACGCATCTTTTGTGGGCGACCCTACACGCAAGAGGATGTCTGAGCATATTTTCATGAGGATTGCAATAGAAATCAGTGGTTGTGGTTGTAGTCGTTATTGCAGTAGCTGGTTGTACTCGTGATTGGAATCGTGATTGTAGTCGTGCTTGTAGTCGCAGTTGTAGTCGCCATCGTAGTGGTAATCATCGTCGTCGCGGCGGATATTCTTTTCCCTCGAATGCTGGGAACGCTGGATAATGTTGGGGGGGTCTGTCTCTCAGGGAATAAGGCTCCCTGGGCTAACATGCACGACATAATAATTAAGAACACGCTTGTAAGTGGATGGAGTTGCAGATCGACGCATTCTTCGCCGAAGGCGTTGCTCACAATCTCCTCCTCCTCCATCTCGTCGTCGTCGTTGCTGCGCGGCGGGTGCCGCCCATTATTGGTGGGACCCCAGTCCGTCAATAAGAACGTCGACAGGATAACTCGTTTTCACTGTTCGGGAGGGTGTATAGATCCTAGTGCGGCGACCTGTGCACAGCACAGCTTGCCGAGCACAGCGTGCTCCGAGCAAGAAGACACTGTGTGGGGTCCACGTTGGCAGACACGTGTGGGGTCCACGTACAGCCGTCGTGCTACCACGAGCAGCACACAAAAGAGGAACGAAGGGCTTTTCTGGCCAGGGCGACCCTGGGCGCAGACAGGTGCCACGACGGACATCTGAGGAGCGGCCCGACGGCCCGGGCACCTGCCGCGATCCAAGCGATCCCTGCTTCAGCGCCTTGACTGCACAGCCGGCCCGTAGCAGAAGGATGCACGATGAGGATGCCGGGGCCCTGGACGCTCATTTCGAGCGGAGCGCGGCCAACGACGAAGGCCAAGGATAGACCGAGGAGGCAAGGATGCAGGGGGCACCCTTGGGAAGAGGCTGCCCATCCTTCTCCTGCGTGCGCCTCGGCTGCACGGGCAGGCGTGCCTCCTAGGAGGAAAAGGCGAAGGAGCGGCACCGCGAGCAGGGGGACGCGCAACCACCGAGAGGGTGCGGTTTGCACAGGGTGCGGTTTGCCTCCCGTCATGTCTGCCCCTCCCGCCCCCAGGAGACGCATGACACCGTCACTCAATGCGACCGAATCACATGACACTGTCGCTCCTTCCAGTACCAGTGGAGCACGCATCGAGGATGACAGCGTCGCTCGGAACGACGACGCCTATGAGACATTGTCTCTCACACGAAAGCCCCGGAAAAGGCCGCCACAAAGCAACTCGCAGACCGCACCCTGGCGTAACCGCACCGATTGTAGTCGCCGAGCCCAGACCCCCGACGTCATGATTTTTTCATGACGCGACCCCCAGAGGTCTGGACCCATTCCCCGGGACCGGCTTTTCATCCTGAGTCGTTTTTTGACGGTCCTGAGGGCCGGTAAGGGTCCCCAGATGCCGAAAATAGCGAAAAGCCTCGCGTCGTGACTCTTTCTCATGACTCGAGGGGGTCTGGGAGGAGGGCGGCCGCCGCTCACTCCATGGCGTGCTCCCCGGCGCGGAGCGGCGGGCCGCCGCCGCCGGCCATGGCGCGGTAGCCGCCCAGGAGCGCCCGCGCGGCGCCGCGGCCGCCGCCCGCGGCGGCGAGGCCGCCGCTCGCCCTCCGCGCGGCCACGACGGCGAGCGCCAGCAGCGCGGGCACCGCCGCCGCCAGCGGCCCCGGGACCTGGGCGCCGTGCCGCCCCGACCGCGCTCTTCTCTCCGCCGGCGCGGCCCGCGCCCCACGGGCCGAGCCGAGCCCCCCATGGAAGTGTGGATGTCATGGCAATGGACACTCAAAATCGTCCTGCCGCTGACTAAAAATTGTGATTGAAAGGTGTAAAACATGTTCTAAGCATGTTTCCAGCATGTTTTTACAGATTTAACACATGTATGACACATGCTTTGGAGATCTGGGAAGTGTTTGGCATCCTGCTTCCTCCCCATGGACCGACCTCCACAACCATCGAATCACTCGCGGGGGGAGGATGGGCTGCGGGTTCCCCTCGGGCTCCGATGGGCGACGCCCCCCACGGGGGTCCCGCGTGGGATGGTCGGGTCGGGCGAAAGGGGGGGGATAGCAAAGGGGGGGTTTGAGACTCAGCTCGCGCAGCTGCTTTTCCTGGCGCCTCCCGGCGCCAGAGGCGGCTATATGCATCGAGGAGTGGGCCCCTCGGTGGGGCCGAAACCAGCTGCACGCGGCAGATTTCGTAACCCCCCCTTTCCCAATCCCCCCCTTTTCGTCCGGCCCGAGATGGGTGGGGCGGAGATGACGTGGCCCCATAATTATGGGGATGGGGCTGCAGCCGGGCCCAGGCGCCAGAAGGAACCTCCTTCCAGAACCTGAGCCCCTCCGCGGGCCACAGCGCACAGACCATCCCAGGGGCCACTGCTCCCTTCCCAGGGGAGTGCACCAGAACACCCAAACGAGCACAAGGAACATCAGGGCACCCTCCTGCGAGCAGTACTTCTGTCCAGATCCACTGCAGTATGGAGTTTCGGGCTCCCTTCCCCAGAAGCCCGGGGCCCACTGGATATGGACGAATTTCCCCCCTGGAGGCACGATTTTGATCCATGTCCAGTGCACCTCGGCCTCGCGGCGCCCCTTCCAAGAAAAAAAACCGAAGGCGCACCGGATATGGACATGAAATCTCGCCCGCACCCTCCCCGGACCGACCTCGATCCTACACCTCCGTCCGACGGCGGGTTCTGACTACCTACCAGATCACCCCAACCCAACCCGAAGACCCGAATTTCGGGTTGGGGGGGGGTAAGGGTCCCACAGGTGTTCTTTCGACGTTTCCCGACCCCCCCCCCACTGGAAATCGAGGGTAAATCTGAGCCTTCGGGTTGGGTTGGGGTGGTCTGGTGGGTGGTGAACACCTCCGTCCGACGGCGGGTTCCACGACACCGAGGACCAGGGCCCCGGAGGAGGCACGGGCCGCCACACCCCCGAGGCCCTGCCGCGCATCCGCGCCGTCCGCGCGCACCACGCCCTCGATGCCCGCAGGGGCCGCGCGGGCGGCCCCGGGCGCCGGGGGGCAGCCGATGGACTGCGTGCTGCAGCAGAACGCGCGCATCTCCTCGCGGGGCGGCGCAGGGCTCGGGCACGGGGGGCTCGGGTTGTGGGCCCCGGAAAAGGCAGGGCCGCTTTTTCACCGTTTCCAAAAAGTGCCCCTTGAAAATGGCAACGGCCAAAAAACGGCCCTGGAAACGACAGGGCCGTTTTTGTTACTGGTTCCGTTTTGCCGTGATTTTGCCGGTTCCGACGCCGTTTTTGCTACTGCATGGTTCCGTCGCCGTTTTGTTGACCGGTTCTGGCTCTGGCTCCAATCCTGGAGCCGTGTTTTGCCGTTTCCGGTCGCCGTTTTTACGCCGTTTCCATTTTCAAGGGACATGTTTTGGGGAAACGGTGAAAAGAAGGCTCTGCCGTTTCCGGGGCCCCGTTTCCAGAAAATGCCCCTTGAAAATGGAAACGGCAAAAAAACGGCGACCCGAAACGGCAAACAAACGGCTCCAGGACTGGAACCGGAGCCAGAACCGGTCAAAAAACGGCGACGGAACCAGTGAAAGAACGGCGTCGGAACAAGCAAAAAACAGCAAAACGGAACCGGTAAAAAAACAGCCCTGTCGTTTCCAGGGCCCACTGAGGGTTGGCCGGACGTGGCCATCCTACAAATGGCGAGGCCCCAGCAGAAGTGTGACGCGAGCTCCCGCTGCGGACATGCCACAGGCACTGGACCGTCGAACTCCAGGGGGCGCTCGTCAACAGCACGCCGGCAACCCCGAGTTCCGGCTTACTCGAGTCTTCCGTTTCCCCGATCCTTGGTCCAGAGATCCTGCTCGGACTTCCAGGTGCTGCAGGCAAACGCCTCCCGGCTCACGGTCGCCGTGGGCGCGCCCTCGGGGCAGAACCCCTGCCTGCGGCAGCACCACTGCTGCTTGTCCAGGGTCCACTCCTCCCAGTCGGCGCGCGCCTCCCGGCAGTTGTAGCGGCACCCGACGCCCTGCTCCTGTAGGAGGGCGCCAACAAGACACCTACGCAACAGCAGGGATCCTGGCCAGGCCGATGATCCTGTGCCCAGAATCGGCCTGGCCAAGATTGTAGTACTCAGCTGTATGGTTGGCGCCCTCCGACGCCTGGCAGCACCACTCGCGCTCACCAGGCAACCATGCGGTCTGCCCCGACGAACTCACCTCGGGCTGGCACTTGAATGTATGTGCTGTCGTAGAGGCATCTGCGATGCGTGTGGGCAGCGTGGTGAGGGGGGCATCATCGCCTGCATGGCCTCCGCGGTTGCCCCTGGTGGCGGTGAACGTCACCGTGGTCATCGTTGTCGTGTCCGCGCAACCCCTGCCTGCATTTGCGCAGCACCACTCCTTCTTCCTGTCCGACCATCCGGTCTTCCAGTTGAGCAGGCCAGCTGTGCAGTCAAAAGGGCTCGAAGTGTCAGGAGGAGCACACCCGTCGCCGGCGTTCTCACAGCACCACTTCTTCTTCCCGGGCGACCAGCCCCGTTCCCAATTGGAGAGGCCAGCTGTGCAGTCGTAGGGCGGAGACGTCGTCGTGACCAGGCACCCGTCTCCGACGTTTTCGCAACACCACGACTTTTTGGCACCCGACCACCCAGCCTCCCAGTTGGACGCGCCGGCCTTGCAATCGTAAGGCGGCGAGGTGGTCGTCGCTGGGCAGCCCTCGCCAACCTTCTCGCAACACCATGCCTTCTTGCCGTCCGACCACCCAGCCTCCCAGTTGGACGCGCCAGCCTTGCAATCGTAAGGCGGCGAGGTGGTAGTCGTTGGGCAGCCCTCGCCGACCTTCTCGCAGCACCAGCGCGCCTTGGCTCCTGACCAGCTGCTCTGCACTTTTGGGTCCCGCTCGGAGCAGTCGAACGGGGGGGAGGTCGTGGTGGTAGGGCAGCCGTTGCCTTTGTTCTCACAGCACCAGTCCTTCTTCGCAGCGGACCAAAGGCTCTGCCAGTTAGCGGCTACCTGGCAGTCGTAGGGCTCGGACGTGGTTGACGACGGGCACGCGCGTCCCGTGCGCTCGCAGCACCACTCCTTCTTCGCCGCAGACCACCCCGCAGCCCAATTGCTCACCCCGGCCTCGCAGTCGTATGGCTCCGACGTGGTGGACTCTGGGCACCCGTTGCCCTTCTCAGGGGACATCGACCAACACATTTGATGCCTTGACTCTTCAGCACGGAGTCCCCGGAAATCGCGACCCTTTACCCTCGAGCCGTCCTGGGACACCCCCGCGGGGGGGTCTGGCGAAGGCCCCCGGACGCCGAGAACGGTGCAGAAAACCCTCCGCCGTGTTTTTTTTGTGGTTGGCCCAGGACCCGAACATGTCTGGGGACTCTCCGCCCCGCCGACTCTGCCCTGGCCGATCCCCTGGGTCCCGAGGCGGACCGCCCAGGGGGCGGGCCCATTCTCGGAAGGCTCAGCAGTTCCCTCGGCCTTCCGAGAAGTCTCCTCAGAGCCCCTCCCGCCGCACACACAAAAACAAAAACTCCTGCGACGGCGCGAGGGCTCCCGAGGAGCCCCGGCGCCCTCCGAGCAGGCCTCCTCCTTCTCTCGCCTCCCCCTCCTCCTCCTCCTCCTCCTTCTCCTCCTCCTCCTCCTCCTCCTCCTCCTCCTCCTCCTCCTTCCCCCAACGCTGCCCCAGTCGCTCGCCGCCGATCGGCGCGGCGGACGGCGGACGCACGGCCCCAGCTGGGGCCTTGTGCTGGCAGCACCAGCTCCGCTTCTCCGGGGACCAGCCCTCGACCCAGCTGGCGGTGCTCCCCGCGCACTCGAAGGGCTCGGAGGTGCTCGCGGCGGTGGTGGCGCACCCCTTGCCCTCCGCCTCTCACGAGCGGCGAACGTATACTACGGGGCCCAAAAGTATACACCACCACCACCTCACTCATCCCCTGCCTCTCCCAGGAAAGGGGATGGCATGATGAGGGTGGAGGAGGGAGAACGAATCGACGTGGTGGTGGTGGTGTATATTATTGGGGCTCGCATATACGGGCCTCCCAGATGGGGTCGGAGCAGATGGGGTCGGAGGATCGCGCCGCATCGCCGATGCATCGGCGATGCATCGGCGATGCATCGGCAACGCATCGGCGACGTCAACGATGCATCGGCGCGATGCTCGGACCCCATCTGCTCCGACCCCATCTGGGAGGCCTAGAACGCATCCGTGTCCACGCCCTCGCGGTCTGGTTTCGGGGCATGATCCCATGGACAAGCGGTCGCATTGGATATTACGTTTTCTGCGCGGGGCCTCCGCGGAGCATCGCCCCGGGTCCACGTGATCGCGGCTCCCAGGGACCCAGCCTCCGAGGCCGTGGATGCGGATATACATATAAACCTGTGCGCATATGGATATATATATATATATATATGTACACACATACCGATACACACTGATATACACTTGATTTATGTTTTCATCAAAAACTTCCGCCCGTGAGCCTCACAGCACCAGTCTCTCTTGGCCGCCGACCAGCCCTCGACCCACGCCGCGGACGAGGCGCTGCACTCGAAAGGCTTGGACGAGGAGGGCGCCTGGCACCCGTTGCCCTTGTTCGTGCAGCACCACTCCTTCTTGCCTGGGGACCAGCCCTTCTCCCAGTTGCTCCAGCCCGCCTCGCAGTCGTAGGGGTCCGAGGCTGACACGGCCTCCTCGCAGCCGTTGCCCTTCGCCCGGCAGCACCACTCCTTCTGATCCTGCGCCCACTCCTTCTGCCAGCTCTCCTGAAAAGAGGGGGACAGGACGACTGGACGCAGGGCCACACGCCAGCTCATAGCGGGGGCCTGGCCGCCTACACCCAATCAGCATGTTCGAGACCCACATCGGCGTCAGGGGCTCCTGCTCACAAGAACTCAATTCGGATCGCACGCGTGCTGGCTGGTTGGGGCCTGGCAAAAGTCATTGCGTGTATGTCGTTACACTAGGCGGGGGTTTGTCCATGATTACTCCGGATTCCATAATAAAGTAGGGGGGGTTACATTTGGCGGGGGGGTCTGATTTGATCTGTCTTGAAGGGTTAGGGGGGGTCTGGGCAAAGTGCCGCCCTTTCATGGATGGTCTGGGGGGTCTAAAACTGGTGGTCTGGGAGGATTGTGCCCCCCTCCCTTTTATTACGAAATCTGGAGTAGCCACCGCCAGGGGGATCTATCTCGGGGGACGTCGGGAAGCGGTGATTATGGACATGCTTGGCCGCCCAGGGGCCCGAGCATGTCGATATATCCAGCGCCTGCCGAGCCCCCGAAGATCGATCCCCTGGGCAGCGGTTATGGACAGCCCCCCGCCTAGGACAGTGTCGTTCCTCTTCTCCTGCTGGCCGGGGCTGCTGGGCCGGCGGGGCCCATGCAGTGGACAGGCGAGCCCGAAATCGAATCGATGAGTCGGGTCGGCGATCGAAATGAATCGGACCGGCGGAAATCGACAGCCGAGCCGGGAAGGTCGAATCGGCGGAGATCGGCAAGCCAGCATGCGTCCAGTAAGACATCGGAGCCCAAATCGGAATCCCAAGTCGAATCGGATCGGGTCGGAAGCCATCGAAATCGAATCGAATCGGGGGAATCGACACGAGCCCTGATCGTGTGGTGACATCGGAATCCCCAACGACCTCACCGCACGGCGCCGTCACAGCACGATCAAGGGACCCAGGAGTTAGGTCGGGCATGTCCCCCTACGGGCGGATGTTGGACGACCAGCAAAAACCCAAATGCTCCAAAAAGAATCGAAACATCGTCCCCAGACTATCTTTCTGCTACCTTTGAAATGTCCCCCCTGTGGAGGGACAGGCCCGACTAAACCCTGGAGGATCCGGCCGCCCACGGCGCAAGACGTCCACCGAGGGCGGCCAGAGCCCCGAATGCGCGCGGGCTCCACCCGACTCCCCACCGCCTCGGCCACACGGTGTGCTGGCGGCATGCACAGGGGCTCCTCCTCTCGGCTACACGCAAGAGTGACTGACCCTGGGTGAGAGTGGCCTTTGGTGCGCGGCGTTTTGAGGGCCGCGGGGGGCCAACCACAAGCGCGCGAGGCGCTACCATGCAGCAACTTTCTCTGCGATTTGGGGACCCATCCGTGCCCGCACCAGAGGTGATTCCGGCGAAGGGTCACTTTTACGTGCAGTCGATGCTGCTCCTCCTCCTCCTCCTCCTCCTCCTCCTCCTCCTCCTCCTCCTCCTCCTCCTCCTCCTCCTCCCCTCCTCCTCCTCCTCCTCCCTCCTCCCCCTCCCCTCCTCCTCCTCCTCCTCCTCCTCCTCCTCCTCCTCCTCCTCCTCTGGTACTGGGAGGGGGGGAAGCTTCTTAGGAGCAGGGGTCCGACCGAGGACGACCCGGGCCCCGAGTGCGCGGGGGCTTCGCCCGACTCCCCACCGCCTCGGCCACACTGCGTGCTGGCGGCGGCGCTCACAGGGGCGGCGCTGGGAGGGGGGCAAGGCTCCTGAGAAGCAGGGGCGCTTCTGAGATCGGGGAGGCGTAAGACTTGGGCGCCCGAGTTATCCGGGGTAACTCGGGTTTGGATTCCCGAAAAAAGAACCCGAGTTAGCCATGACCCGAATTACCCCTGATGATGTGGGGCTCTGGACGCCCGAATTATCCGGGGTAACTCGGGTCAGGGGTAAGTCGGGTTCGGATTCCCGAAAAACGAGCCCGAGTTAACCCTGACCCGAGTTACCCCTGATGATTCGGGGCTCTGAAAGACTCGGGTACGGGGGACTCGGGTTGGCCCGGCGGGGCCCTCTTCAAAAATGGCGAGGCCCAATCCGAAAGTTGGCGCGATCTCCCGCTGCAAACATCCCACGAAACCTGGACCGTCACATTCCAGGAAGCGCTCATCAAACAGCGCCGGGAAACCCAGGTTCCGGCATACTCGAGTCTTACGCTTCCCCGATGAGAAACCTTCCCGCCTCCCCCATCCCCCCTTCCTTCTTTGAGCAGGGACCGACCGTCCCGGCGTTCCTACAAGCCTACCACGACATATTCTCAGAACCCCACAATGTTCCGAAAACCACCACAGAAGAACTAGTCACTGAAACCACCCAAGGTTCTTAGAACAACCTCTGGCGGGCCTACAGGCAAGCCGGGACGCTTCGCGACTGCTTGACTTCTGCGCGTGGCCGACAAATCCCCACCGGCTCGGCCACGTGGTGAGAGGTCACCACGCGGTTCGTGGCCACCGAGAACCGTTCGCGGGGGAGGGCCCGAGGTCAGCGGAGGGCCGCGCGGCGTCGCGGAGGCCTGGGGGGGTGGGTGGGGGCGGTGGCGGCGCGACCGGGCCGCGGCAGGGCCCCCCCCCACATAGATTTGCCACACAGAGCATGCTATACCAGACGGTTTGAGATACGCGCTTGCAACATACGTTCATATACGTATTGCCCTTGAGCCCAACAACGTTTTCATCTCTTGGGGGCGCGTGTTTCCCTTCCGCCACATTCCGCCGCCCTTCCGCCGGCTTCCGCCGGCGCAGGTGGCCTCGTTTCCCTTGCGCCGCCTTCCGCCGCGGAAGAGCTGGCAACTCCGTCGATCCTCGAAGGCAAGGCCCGTATTGGAACGCCTCATATGCTGATATACATCTATATGTATAGATGTACATGTGCATGATGGCGGGGACGACCCCCCTTCGTCTCTCTCCCCCTTCGCCTTCACCCTCCCTTGGGCTATACAAGACGCGCTGGACCAGGGGAGCTCAGAACCGGCACCGCGCATCTGAATGCTGGCATCGAGTCGGCATCCCGGGAGATCGGCTCGAGTCGGACCGGTGGAGCAGAAATGCACCCTGCGCTTGTGAGTATACAACACTTTTTTGTCAGCGGCCGCGGGCGAGCGCGCCAGCGGCGAGTCAGGTCTAAGAGGGCTACGCAAAGACTAATTAGGCAGGCGACGCGCAAGGCAACAGCTACGCGGCAAACCGAGGCCTCACGCAGCGGCCCAGCTGCAGGGGGAGGGCTGTGAGTATACAACACGCGAAACGTCAAGAATTTGGCGGTCGGACTTGCAAGTTCCGGCTAAAACGCAACCGACTTGGGCTCCGCGGAAGCAGCCACAGCGCGCGAGCATTTGCTTGCGTGCGTTGCATGCACCGACAACGCAGCGGAGCGCAAGGACAAGGAGTGAGAAGCAGTGCAACGCAACATGCCGAGCAAAGCAAAGCGCCGCCGCGCAAAGCCACGCAGATCAGCGCATCCCCATCGTCCTCCTGCTCGAGGCTCTGCCCGAAAAACACAAGAAGGAGCGTGGGTGCACACAGCGCGTCAGGTCGTGGCTTGTGAAGGACCTCCCGCGCGGGAGGCGATGCCGTGACAGCCGGGGGCCCGACGCCACAGCTCGACGCGCGGGGCCCTCCTCGACACAAACAAAACTGCTGCTGCCAACGTCGGGGGGGCACCTCGCCGCCGGTGGGGGCGAGCACGACGGGCAGGCAGTGTGCACGGCTCTGCTCACGAGCTCGGAGGCCCTGGTGCTCCGAGCTCGCCCTGGCCCTCGCCTCCGCCCACCGGCCCGCACCCCACGCTCCCCCCTCGGCCTCGACGCCCGCCCCGTGCTGTCTGCGCTCGGCATGCGCCGCCCTCGCTCGCTCTCTTGGCGCCTGGCCCTGGCGGGCAGCCGCGCGCGAACCCGACCCCCGCAGGTCCAGATATGGGAACCTCGCTGGGCTCCGGTCGGAGATGTCCCCCTACAGGGGGGTTTTGGACGAGAAATAAGCAATGATCAAAAAGTGCTCCCACATGATGCTCAGACATGGTAGAAAGAATCGTCCCCAGGCTATGTTCTTACTATTTTTGAATACTCCTCCTGTAAAGGGACAGGCCCCACTTACCGCTGGGTTTCCGAATTAGAAGGATGCCTGTAGCCAGGTGAACCCAGCGCGGGGGTGTCCGATGCACCCGCGTCGATTGGACCCGCAGGGGTGAGGGTTCGAGATCGGCTGCACGCAAGAGTGACCCTGGATATAAGAGTGGCCTTTGGTGCGCGGCTTTTTCGGGGCCGCGGGGGGGCCAAACACGAGCGCGAAAGACGCTACAAGCGCATCGCGTTCGGCGATCGCGGGGCCCCCATGGGCCCGCACCACAGGTCACTCCAGCGAAGGGCCACTCTTGCGTGTAGTCGACGGAAGTCGGCTTAGGTCGGGCATGTTCCCCTTCAGGCGGATGTTGGACGAAAAAACCAAGGATATTCAAAAATCACACCACAATTGTCAGAAATAGTAGAACAACCGTCCCCAGACAATCTTCTAACCTATTTTTGCATGTAGGGTCATGCCCGGGCCCAAGAGTAGGCCGCCCTGCCATCCGCCTGCCCGTCCTCGCCCCACTCTCCGTGTTGAAAAAACCCCTCACCCCCGGAGACCAGGACACAGACGAATCAGGACGTTGGCGAGTCGGGGAAACCGCGCCCTGTCCCCTGCAGAATCAGCTTTGGCCGTCCAGTGCAGGATTTTTGGCTGCTGCTCTGCCCCCGAGGCCTCCCCCCTCGGGCCTGCGCCCTCCCTCCCGCTGCTGCCCTCCGCCGCCCCCCCCCCCTCCCCCCGCGGAGTTGATAAAACCGTGTGTGCGTACCACCTCGTTTTGCTGCGTTGCATCGCCATCACCAGCATCATCACCCTTGCAATCAATTTGTAATCCGCCACAAAATAAAACCATTTCAAATCTGCCACAAAAGGAATCAATTTGAAACCCGCCACAAACACAATTGATTTGTAATTCGCCGCAAAAGGGATCTATTTGTAATCCGACACAAAAGGAATCACTGTATATTTTGCCACAAAAGGAATCAATTCGTAATCCGCCACAAAAGAAAACCTTCTGTAGGGAGGGGATGTAAATGGTGGGTCAATCGCTACTAGGATTCTATGAGAGGTGGATCCATCTCTCATCGGATTCTATTAGAGGTGGAAATATCTGGAATGGGATGATCTTAGAGGTGGATACATCGCTAATAGGACCCCACTAGAGGTGGATCCATCTCATAATAGGATTCCATTCCAGGCGAATCCATGTTTAATCGGACCCCAGTATAGGTGGACCCATCTCAAATAATATTCAAGTAGAGGTGGATCCATCTGTAATAGAATTTTGTTAGAGGTGAATCCATGTGTAGCAGGATTATATTAAAAGGTGGACCCATCTCTGTTAGGATCCCATTTGGAGCGGATCGATCTGTAATAGACTTTCAGTTGAGATGGGCCCATCTCTCATAGGATTCCATCAGTTGTGGATCCAGCTGTAGTCGGATTCCATTAGAGATGGATCCATCTGTACCAGGATTCTAGTAGATGTGGATCCATCTGTAATAGGATTCCATCAGAGGTGGACCCATCTGTATCAGGATTCTGGTAGGATTGAATTGGGGGTGGACCCGTTTGTATTACGGTCTTATTAGAGGTAGATCCATATGTAATAGTATTCTATTAGAGGTGGATTCATGTCATGTAGGACCCCATCAGAGGTAGGTGGACCCATCCCTAATAGGATTCTCTCAGAGGTGGACCCATATGTAATAGGATTATAGTAGAGGTGGGCCCATCTGTCATAGGGTTCTGTTAGAGATGGATCCATCCGCACTAGGATTCCATTAGATCCATCTCTAATCAGATACTACTAGAGGTGGGTCCATCCTTACTAGGATCCCATTCGAGGTGGATCCATTTGTCACAGGACTCTGTTAGAGGTGGACCAATCTCTAATATCATGCCATTGGGGATGGAACCATCTTATTGGGATTCTATTAGTGGTGGATCCATATGTAATTCGAGTCCATTAGAGGTGTTTCCATGTCTAATTTGATTTTATCAGAGGTGGATCCATCGCTAATAGAATTATATTCGAGGTGGACGCATATGTAATGGGGTTCTATCAGACGTGGGGTCATTTGTAAAACATATTCTATTAGAGGTGGGTCCATCCGTACCAGGATTCCATTCGAGGTGGATCCATCTCTGATGTGATGCCATTAGTTGTGGACCCATCTCTAATGGGATTATATTAGAGGCGGATCCATATGTCATAATATTATATTTAAGGTGGTTCCATCTGTAGTGGGATCTTATCAGGGGTGGATCCATTCCTAATCGGATTCTATGGAAGGTGGATCCATATGTAATAGGATTCTCTCGGAAGTGGATCCATCTGTAGTACGATTATATGAGAGGTGGGTGTCTTTTGTGATGACGATGATGATGATGACGAGCATGTGTTTCAAGATGCTGCTGACGATGCTGATGATGCCGAGCATGTGTTTAAAGCTGTTGCTGATGATGATGGTGATGACGAGCATGTGTTTCAATGTGCTGCTGATGACGATGGTGATGACGAGCATGGTTTCAAGATGCTGCTGATGACGATGATGTTGACGAGCATGTGTTTCAATATGCTGCTGATGACGATGGTGTTGACCAGCATGTGTTTCAAGATGCTGCTGATGACGATCATGTATGTGTTTCAAGATTCTGCTGATGACGATGGTGATGACGAGCATGCGTTTCAAGATATTGCTGATGATGATGGTGGTGACGAGATGCGTTGGGAGCAATGCGTTGTCATAATGAGTTCCACAGAGCATAATCGAGTGGGAAGCACATCCCACAAAACTAAAGTTATCCTCTCTTTACCCTTCTTCTTCCTCCTCCTCCTCCTCCGCCTCCACCGCCGTCTCTTCCTCCTCACCCCTCTTACTTCCAGTGGGTGAGCGCCGAAGCGCGTTCCAGAGAGATTGAAAAGCCTTAATATCTCGATTCTCCGGCCTCCGGAGGCCCGAAGCAAAAAATATTAGCGGATTACAAATTGATTTCTTTTGTTGTGGAATTACAGAAGGGAATCTTTTGGTGGTGAACTACACATTGTTTTAACTTGTGTGGCAGATTACAAAAGGATTCCTTTTGTGAAGAATTACGAAAGGATTTCCTTTGTGGAGGATCACATGATGATTCTTTTTTGTGGCGGATTACAAAAGGATTCCTTTTGTGGAGGATTACAAAAGGATTCCTTTTGTGGAGGATTACAAAGGGATTCCCCTTGATGGAGGAATACAATGGGATTCCTGTTGTGGAGGATTACAAATTGATTTCCTTTGAGGGCTTTCCTGGAAGTGAACCAGGGGACAAAAGAAAAAAAAAAAAAAAAAAAACATTGAACATTAGGAAAATTGCAGGTTTTCAATGCATTCCCAATGTTTTGACAGCATTTCCAAGGTTTTCCAAACCATATGAAAACACAGCATTTTTGTTTATATGTTTTTGTTTCAAAGCATTGGAAATTCATTGAAAACATACAATTTTCCTAATTTTCAATGATTTTCTGATGTTTTTTTTTTTGTCCCCTGGTTCACTTCCAGGAGAGCCCTCAAAGGAAATCAATGTGTAATCCTCCACAAAAGGAATCCCATTGTATTCCTCCACCAAGGGGAATCCCTTTGTAATCCTCCACAAAAGGAATCCTTTTGCAATCCTCCACACAAGGAATCCTTTTGTAATCCGCCACAAAAGGAAACAAATTGCAATTCACCATGAACAGAATTCCCTTTTAATTCCCCACAGAAGAACTCAATTTAAAATGTGCTACAACAGGAATCGTTCTGCATTCCACTACTTTGAGCAATCCCTTCAAAGATGACGAAAAGCATAATCAACAGGAAAGCAAGCACATCAGAAGTAATAGACCAAAAACCGAGGTGGTACACACACACGGTTTTATCAACCTTACCCCTCCCCCCCCCCGCGGGCCCTGGAGCCCCCGCCCCGGAGCCTGGCCCCCCACCCGCCCCAGGCCCGCGCGCGTGCGCCCAGCCTCAGGTCGGGCAGGTCCCCCCTAAGGCGGGCTCGTGAGGAGAGGTGAGAGATAGCTCAACAACGGATTCAAGAATATACTCAGATATAGTCCAGCAATCGTCCCCGGACAGATTTTTGCGGGGACTGCGTTTGAGTTTCCTCCTGTTGAGGGACATGCCCGACTTCCGCCCAGACCCCCTGTGCCCCGCACCAGAGAGCCAAACATCCACCCCCGATCAGAAGCACCCCGACGCTCGAAGCCGCTCAGGAAGCGCACCCAAGGGAGGAACGGAGCGGGGCAGGGCTGCTTCGTCGACGCCCAGGGCCGTGTGGCAAACGCCCACTGTCGGGGTCGGGGGCGGCTTTCCCCCCCTGGGCGCCCCCCCCCGCGGCTGCCACCCCCGCAGGCTCGCCGCGTGAGTGCTTTGATCGCGCTGCGCCCTGCAAGCTCGCATTTTTCCGCTGCGGCCGCTGGCCTTGGCCGTCTCGCAGTCGAACACGGGGCCAGCATCGTCGCCTTCGCCCTCCTGGCCTTCGCCCTCGGCCTCGTCCTTCTGGCCGCTGTCGCCCTTCTGGACTTCGCCTCGACCCTTCTGGCTGCTCTCGCACGCCACCGCCCTTTCGCTGCAGCACCAGCTCTTCCGCGCCTCGGACCACTCCCTCGACCAATTCACCTGAGGGCACAGCAGCATGCAACACAATCACCCGGAGGACGCGCCCAACCCTTTCGGCACGCTTGGAACCCTCAGGGGAGAAGCATCGGGGGTCGCCCACGTGCCTCCCCACCCTCAGGGCCGCAGGAAAGCAACGGCACCTGCGCGGGCAGACAGCGCCCGGAGAAGGCGAGATACGTGTTGGTCTGCAAGCGGGAGCCTTCAGCTGGACCCCCCTGGGGCCCAGCAAACTTGCGACAGTTGCACACCTGCTTGCATCCGTGGAGGGCAAGGGAGACACTTTGACCTGCGCAGGCCACCACTCCGCTGGACTCCACAGGGGCGCAGCAAACTGGCGACAAGTGCACGCCTGGCTGCACCAAAGGAAGGCGAGGAAGAAACAATTAGGACACTCCTCCGCTGGACCCAGAGGGGCTTGGCAAACTGGCAACGCAGCAAACTAGATATAGTTGCACGCCCGATTGCACCCAGGGAGAAGGGGGGGACTATGCTCATGGGGGTAGGGCACCACTCCAGCACCACTCCGCTGGACACCCGAGGGTGCGCAGCTAACTTGCGACAGCTGCACGTCTGGTTGCACCAAGGGAGGACGAGGGAGAAACCCTAATCTTTGGAGGACGCCACTCGGCTTGACACCCCCGCAGCTGCGCAGCAGACTTGTGACAGTTGCATGCCTGGTTGCACCCAGGGAGGGCGAGGGATACACCTAGATGTGTGTAGGGCGGCAAACACTCCGCTGGGCCCCAGGGGCGCAACAACTGGCGACAAGTGCACGCCTTACTGTACCAACGGATGGCGAAGGTAGTGCTGCGTAGGCTACTACTCCGATAGACCCTCCATGACTTCAGGGGCGTAGTGCACCCCAAGAGGCGCAGAAAACTGGCCACAGTGCACGCCTGCTTGCACCCAGGGAGGGCGATGGGTATACGTTGATCAGAGTAGGGCCCTACGCAGGAGTCCACGCTTGGCACTGGCAGCACCCAGGGAGCGAAGAGGGTAATTCTATTTGCGTAAGACACAACTCCACTGAATTTCCCCTGGGGCGCAGGAAGGCTGCAAGAGTTGCACGCCTAGCAGCAGAGTGGGGGCGAGGAGCGAGGGACAGGCCTGGACGCGTGTAAGACAAAACTCCGCTGGACCCTCCAACGTGCGCAACAGAGCTAAAATAATTGCAACCCTGGTTGCAACCAGTGGGCAAGAGGAAGACAGTCTTGTCTGCATGTGGCACAACCCCGCTGAATCCCTAAGAGACGAAGGAAGCCTGGGATAATTGCCCGCCTGGCATATATCAAAGATCGTGACCCGTGTCACACAGCAATCCGCAGGACCCCACCCATGGCGCAGCAAGGCGCTGCGACAGTGGCACGGCTGGCAGCGCCCAAGGATGGCGAGGTAGCTACCCTAACCTGCGTAAGGCACCGCTGGAGCCCAGGGGGTGCAGCCAAGTGGCAACAAACGGCACGCCTGGCTGCACCGGCACGCCTGGCTGCACCAGGGGTGGGGAAGGAGGTACATTGCCCTGCGCAAGGCACGAGGCACCACTCTGTGGGACCTCAACGGCCCCCATGGACGCAGCACTGTGACTACAGCTGCGCTCTGGTCAATACTCAGGCATGTCTGGCAGCACTACGGTGGCAGCGAAGACAGTCAGCGGCCAGGATTGATACGACAGGAGGAGGAGGAGGAGGAGGAGGAGGAGAAGGAGCACCAACTGCGCTGTATTCAGAGCGGTGGTCCAGCACAGGAGGGTTGGGAACGACACTTTCTGCACGCTCGCATATGGTGTCGCCGCTGGCGCCAGCGCGCCGCCTGCTGGCGCCGCCCCCCTGGCGAGAGGGTGCCAGGAGAGGGTGAGGTGCAGGCGGGGAAGCAGTCCGCGGACGTCCCAAGTTTGTGCTATGAGCTACATGCACGTTTCCCATGAGGGGCAACGAGAAAGGCAGCTGGCTCAGGGGGAGAGACATCGACCTGGCATGGGCGATACGTCGCCGATCTGTCGGCGACAGGCCCCCGAGTGCGATTCAGCGCGTTCCTCGGCGGGGTGGGCTAGACGGCCCGGATCAGCGACTTGTGGGCGATTGGGGGTCACTGCGTTCCCCCATGAGGCCGTCCCCCCCTTTAGGTGTCACTGATCCCTGCACCTGGTCCACCTTGCAGTCAAAAGCCCCAGTGGTCGTCGTCACCAGTGGCGGCGGCGGGGGCACCTGCTCAATCTGCTCATCCAAACTCTCCTCGTCGCTATCTGGACACCCCTTCTGCTCCTCCATGCAGCACCACGCCTTCTTCTTTAGGGACCACTCCGAACTCGATGTCGAGAGGCTGGCATCGCAGTCATGTGGGCATCCGCGACTGACTGCCTTGCAACACCAAGCCTTCTTCGATGACGACCTGCATGGGGAATCAACAACGCCCGTGAACATTGAGCACACACAAGAAGGATGAGGATGCAGAGGAGGAGAAAGTTTACGCTTATGATGGGTTGACAGTGTGCCCCTGACGACCACCCCTTGCGCCAATTGTTGTAACCCGCTTCGCAATCATACGGCGGCGAGGTGGTGGCAGGAGCGATCGGCTCAGAGCTGGTGGTTGGACAGCCCACGTCTTTGTTCTGGCAACACCAGATCTTCTGCTCGGCCGGCCAGCTTGTCTGCTGATTCGCGGCCCCCTCCTGACAGTCGAACGGCTCGGTGCTGGTGGTTGGACAGCCCACGCCGCTGTTCTGGCAGCACCATAACTTCTGCTCGACCGCCCAATTGGTCTGCTGATTCGCTGCCCCCTCCTGGCAATCGAACGGCTCGGAGCTGGTGGTTGTTGGGCAGGCCACGGCCCTGTGCTGGCAGCACCAGGTTTTCTGTTCAACCGTCCAATTCGTCTGCTGGTTCGCGACCTCCTCGTGGCAATCGAACGCTTCGGAGGAGGTGGACTCGGCATCAGCGGCACAGCCTTTATTCTTGTGTTTACAGCACCATCTTTTCTTCTCGTCTGACCAACCAGCATCCCAATTCGAGAGGCCAGCATCGCAGTCGAAGGCATCGACATCGTCTCCGCACCCGGCCCCGGTGTGCCAGCAGCACCATGCTTTCTGGGACACCGACCACTGGTGCGAGCTGCTAGTGCAATCGTACACGAGACTGTCGTCTTGACAGATGATGCCGAAAGGGTGAACAGGGAGGGAGTCGTGCCACTCGCCGTGCAGAAGCATGCACAGCCACGGCTCGTTCTGATGATCAGCCGAGCTGGCTCCGAGGTTCTCCAGCTTCCCAGCAGCGGCCGCATGGACTCCGATCCTGGAGCCGTCGTCCCACGCCCAGAAGCCGGAAGCATTTCCGTCGGCCTGCTCGCCGCCGTCCTGAAAGAGCCCCCAGGACACACAAACAAATACACACAATTAAAAGGATTCCCTATATTTTTCCACATTTGTTTGACTTTCGCCTTCCCCCCCACTTCCCATATTTTCCCATATTTTCTGGGAAATCGACGATTCATTGTGTCTGTGTGTTTCTTTCTCTCCTGAGTCCTCCCAGTGCCCGCCCAACCAGATGGTGTTGTTGGGCCAGTCGGCGGACAGATTGCCCACGGCCCGCGCCGCGTCGATGGCCACGCGCAGCGCCTGCGTCTCCTGGTCCGTGCGGGGCATCGGCAGGCCGCTCAGCGCACCGCAGGCGGCGTCGGCCTCCTCGCGGCTGCCGTAGCCGACGAACGTGAAGCGCGGGGGCACGCAGGCGGCGCCCTCGCACTCGGGCGGCGTGGGCACCGGCGCGCCCGCCGGCTCCGCCGTGCCGCCCGCCGGCTGCAGCGGCACCGGCAGCGGTGGTGGTGCGTCTGGCGGCCCTGGCGTTAGGTCGGGCGTGTCCTCCTACAGGGGATCTCAGGGCGCAAGGTCAAAAACTCGTAAAGACATACCCCACAAATCTTCAGACGTACTGAAGCGAAAAGCGTCCCCTGACCATATTTTTAGACTGTTTTTGAGTTTTCCCCTTGCAGAGGGACAGGCCCGACTTAAGCTTAAGTCGGACCTGTCCTCCTACAGGGGGATATTGGACGAAAAAGAAAACATACCCCCCAAAATGCTCCCAAATGGTCAAAGAATACTCTCAAAATGGTTCCCAGACTATTTTGTTGGCTATTCTTGGATGTTCCCCCTGGCCATCGCTCGGACGTCCATTCCCTGTGTTTTTTTTCGGTTTCGTGCGTGGCTTTTTCGCCAAATGATCAAGGATGCTCCTCGATGGTCCTCGCCGAAAGAAAAATGCACACGTCCGAGCGATGCCAAGCCCCCCAGAGGGCGCCGCGAGGAGGAGGTAGGAGGCAGGAGGGAAGTGGGCGGGAGGACGGGGCGACCAGAGTGCTCTATTCAAAACGAGTACCCAACCAAGGGAGGGTTGGGAAAAAGAAAACATACCCCCCAAAATGCTCCCAAATGGTCAAAGAATACTCTCAAAATGGTTCCCAGACTATTTTGTTGGCTATTCTTGGATGTTCCCCCTGGCCATCGCTCGGACGTCCATTCCCTGTGTTTTTTTCGGTTTCGTGCGTGGCTTTTTCGCCAAATGATCAAGGATGCTCCTCGATGGTCCTCGCCGAAAGAAAAATGCACACGTCCGAGCTATGCCAAGCCCCCCAGAGGGCGCCGCGAGGAGGAGGTAGGAGGCAGGAGGGAAGTGGGCGGGAGGACGGGGCGACCAGAGTGCTCTATTCAAAACGAGTACCCAACCAAGGGAGGGTTGGGAAAAAGAAAACATACCCCCAAAATGCTCCCAAATGGTCAACGAATACTCTCAAAATGGTCCCCAGACTATTTTGTTGGCTATTCTTGGATGTTCCCCCTGGCCGTCGCTCGGACGTCCATTCCCTATGTTTTTTGTTTCGGTTTCGTGCGTGTTTTTTCGCCAGATGATCAAGGCTGCTCCTCGATGGTCCTCGCCGAAAGAGACATGCACACGTCCGAGCGATGCCCCCAAAATGATCAACGAATGTCCCCAAAATGCTCCCAAATGGTCAACGAATACTCTAGAAAAGGTCCCCAGACTATGTGTTTGGCTATTTTTGGACGTGCCCCCTGCAGAGGGGCAGGCCCGACTTCCGCCTGGCGGCGGCTGCGCCGAGCCGTTCGCGGGCTCCGGCTCGTCCGGCGGGGCCACGGGCTCCCCGACCACCGGCGGGGGCGGGGGCGTGCCCGCCGGCGGCCGCGCCACCGCCGAGCCTGGGGAGATCCCGAGAGGTGTACAGTCGGGGCCTTGACCTAAGGAGCCCTAAATAAGGAACGAGGCCCCTATTCTCCATAAGTTGAACTTCGATTTCGCATCGAAAACCTAGGGAAAATGCAGGGCGAGCTGCGAAACAATTCAGGAACACGGAGCCCCTCCCCAACGAAAAGGGTTCCTTCTTCAGGGCCCCGACTGTAGCCCAAATCCCTTATGGATCGACCCCCCCCCTAAAAGTCCGGACTACCCCCTCCAAGTGTGACCTATAATATTCTGGACCCCCCTCTTCGACGGGGCGCCTTATAATGAACCGGACCCCCCAAGCTCCAGTCCAGAGAAAGCACCCTCATAAACCGACCCCCCCAGTTACAAAAAAGGCACCTTAAAAACCCGGACCCAGGGTACGATGAATGAGGGATTTGGAGTAGTCGCGAGACCGCTGCGGCTCCCCGCGCGTGTCCGGGGGCGCGCTCGGACCAGACTTCGGTCGGGCCTGTTCCCCTACAGCGGGATGTTGGGCGAAAAATGAAACATACCCAGAACATGCCCACAAAGAGTCAACAACTGCCAGAAGACTCGTCCCCACATTGTTTGTTGACTATTTCTGAATGTTCCTCCTGTAGAAGGACAGGCCCGAGGCCTGCAGGAAGTCCCGACCCCTTCCCCAGGGAGGGCTAGGATCCACTCTTGCTGGCCCCCCGGCCCCGACAACGGGCCCTGTGGAGGCCGACAACTCCAGGAAGAAAACGCCTCCCGATGGAGAAGAAATCACATCCTCGGACACCTGGAGTGTAGCCGTCTGGGTGTACCTACCCACACATGCGGCGCCCTGACTTTTGTCAATGCGGGGTCCCTGGAAACCCTGACCCTCTCCCCGGGACCGGCTTTTCGTCCCGAGTCGTTCCGTGACGGCCCCGAGGCTCCGCGCGGGCCCCCCGAGGCCGAAAACGGCCCAAGACGGTTTTGGGCCGTTTTGGGCCGCGAAGGATGCTAGGGCCTTGGGTTCTGGCAACAAAAACCCGCAAAACCCGCCCTTTGAAGCACGACGCGAGCAGGTCGGGGTCTTCCCCCTCGGCGCGCCGGCCGCGGGCGGCGCCGTGGGCTCCCCGACCACGGGCGGGGGCGGCGGCGTCGAGCCGGCCGCGGGCGGCGCCGCGGAGCCGGCCGCGGGCGGCGCGGGCGGCCACGCCGCCGCCGGCGGGGGCGGGGGCGGCGGCGGCGCCTCCGAGGCGGCCCTGGGCGGCGCAGGCCGCTCCGCCGCGGGCGGCGGGGGCGGGGGCGCGCCGGGCGGGGGCGGCGGCGGCGCCACCTCAGCTCAGCTGCGCGCGAGAGTGGCCCTGGGTGAGAGTGACCTTTGGTGCGCGGCTTTGTGGGGGCCGCGGGGGGACCAAACCCCAGACCCCCTCGAGCAATGACAAAAATCATGACGAGAGGTTTTTCGCTATTTTCGGCCTCCAGGGGCCCTTACCGGCCCTCAGGACCGTCAAAAGAACGACTCGGGATGAAAAACCGGTCCCAGGGAATCGGTCCGGCCTTCTGGAGGTCGCGTCATGAAAAAATCATGACGTCGGGGATCTGGGACCTGGGCGCGCAAGCCGCTGCTACCGCCTCTTTTTCAGCCATCTGAGGGCCCATCTGTGCCCGCACCAAAGGTCACTCCGGCGAAAGGTCACTCTTACGTCTAGTCGATCAGCGACGGAGGGAAACCCGGACATTAGGAGGCAACTACTGGGAAGTTTTTGGTCAGATGGACTATAAGGAGGATTAAGCCCCATTGGGAGGCTCTTATTCGTCAGCGCGGGCCTCGGATCAAGCGGGATGAAGCCGGATGAAGCGGGATTCAGCGGGATTCAGCCGGCTTAAGCTGGATTTCGGACCAGGGCTAAATCAGAATTTGTCCTCCCAGGAGCTGCACGATCGCGCCGTTACACAAAAAATCAGGGCGGGAAGTTTTGGGCCGCTGTCGGCCCCCGAGGGCCCTCGCCGGGCCTCGGGGCCGACAGCGGGATGGAAAACTGGTCTCAGGGAAAGGGGCGGGGCTTCCAAGGGCCCCGCATCGAAAAACTCAGGACGTCGCATGTCTGGGCACGGCACCGCCTCGGCTCTTGGTGCGGGAACGGCACGCCCTCCGTAGCAGGACCATCGAAGCCCAAGAAACCCATGGCACCCTGGAGGCACGCATGGCACCCTGGAGGCACGCAGGGTGCTTCCTGGCATGGGCCACCACTGCACACGAGATGGCACAGCGGCCCTGCGCGGCAGCTCACGCAGGCCGCCAGCGCGGCACGCTGCCTCGGGGACGAGGGCGCGCGCGCGCGCGCGACTTTTTTATTGGTTATAAAAAACCTGCCCACCAGGCTGATCGCCCCTGAACGTGATTCCGACGGCACCCGACTGCACTGGCGGTAATGCCTCGCTCCTTTCGCCGCTTCGCTGTGAAGCGGCACCCAAGGCGCGCGCGCGCGACCTTGGGCGGGCAGGTTATGCGCCAGTGTCGCCGCAGACGACCCCGTGTTGGTGGCGTCGCCCGCCTGGGGAAAGCAACACCACTACGCTCCCCGGACCTCTCTCCCGGGGTGCGTTCTGACCAGAACATCGAAGATGGCATGGCCTGGGAGAGCTCTGGTGTGGATAGCAGTTATTGTGGTAGCAGCAGCATGGCAGCCCTCGGACAACACCTACATACTCCCCGGCAACCTCTACCAACCTTTGGGCAGGCCTTGCTGCACACATGCAATCTGTAAAACGTTAGGGACATGGATTCGTTTGGCAACCCATTACCAACACAACTTAATGATTGCATTATGGTGTTGCAACTAACGCAAATGACCTCAGTGATATAGTCACGGTTTGTAAGGTGCAGGGCTGGATTGGCAACGTGTTGGTTAATGGAGCGCTTACACAGTATGCAAAACCGTTCAGCCAAGCCGAGCACCCCCTTTGAGTAATTTGGTGAACAAATCCGGTGAGCAACATCTAGCAAGGCCTAGCCTACTTGTGTAGCGACCTTGGGCCATGGAAATGTCTACTCTCGCTGTCGTTGGTCACCGAATTGAGGAGGGTAGCTGCCCTAGTTAGCGAAAGTTGCTAATCTGCTTAGCAGGATTAGCTATCCTGCTCAGACCAGTGCGCTCGGTGACCTGACCTTTGAGTAACATTCACCTGAACACATTCACGACCCGATGCAACGTGGACCCACACCCCGCTGGGTAAGCCGCATTAAGGAGCTACTCAACACGTTACCAACTATTTGGCAACCCATGGAAGAGAGCGTAAACCGTTGAACCGCTTGTAATGATTTCCAGAAGCACCGAAAACAAAGGCATGGCAAAGATATCAGCTCCGCTCCAAGACATGGTGGAAAAACAAGCCAACTCATTTTGATTCATGTTCGGCCACTGGGGGCCCGCGCTGGGCCCCAGGGCCGCCAAAACGGTAAATGAAAACCAGCCCTGAGGGGAAAAACGTCGGGACTCCCACGAACCGCGATTTTAAAAAATCACGACAGCGGACGTCTGTGCTTCCTTGTAGATGCCCGAAATTGGAGCGGCACACTGGGTGCGATGCCTAACAACAAATGTTACCCAAACCCGACAGTGGCCGATGTTGGGCAGGCGGCCTTTTGCT